AAAAAAGATTTAATTCCCGCCCGCTCTCCTACCACCATTTCACCTAATAAAAATAAAGGCCGGAAATTGAAGGGAGGAGAGGTTAACCCCCCCCCCACCCCCCCCCCCGTATCATTTTCCCCTGAAATTCCTCTCCCCGTGCAAAGGACCTAATAAGACTCTTGAGGTCCTTCTGAGGACCAATACCTTTCTGAGTCACTGTTCCCTGGGAAAACAGTGTAGAGGGCTTTAAGTTCAAATAACTTCCCCCTCAGTTATTTTTTAGAGAGAATAGTTGCATGCCTAAATTATGTATATTATTTAAATGTGTAAGATTTGCTCAGCAGCAGACTTTTAATTGCTTGTCACTTTAAGACAGTGTTTATATCCAACATCTTACAGTTTTTTTTTCCCTGAAAGCATATCTTTTTCCCCATTGCCCAATATTGTATCAATGTGTATTCCTTAGAGGCTTCCATGTAACAGATGAAATCACAGTGAAGAATAGGATAGATGGTTTGAGCTAGTTTAAAAATCATTATGGTTTCTTAGATCAGAATGCTTCCACTCAGGGTACTTGTTGTGCAATTGCCTTGCTTCAAGCAGAATTTTATGAGAGTAGGCTAGATAATGGCCTTTTTCAGTTGTAATCTTTTGTACATTCCCATCACATATCCCATCTTTCTCATTTCACAAGAAACTGGTAAGGGGAAAGACCAAATAAGCAATTGTCTTCTTATTGGTAAGCATCAAGAAATACCTTAATTTCTGTTTCAAGATTATCTCAATTTTAATAGCTTCTTGCCGCAAACATGATTGCATTATTTTTCATGTTGTTCAAGATTTTCCTGCACAGAAAGCACTAATTGCATGCATTTTAAATAGCCCATAATACATCTGAGATTTATATTGCTATTTGTGTGTTGCTTGCTGCAAGAAATAAATATAATGGATGGAACCTAATTTGAAATATTTTTAGGCTCTAAAATTCCCTCAAGGAATCTGCAGGCATTTGTACTACTGAGGCAGCTGAGGATTATTAATATCACAGGGCATATCCTATATGCCATAAGTTATTTCCTATGTGAATTGCAGATTAATCACACGTACAGTAAATATTTTATGGAAGTTTGCACACAGTCCATAAGTTTCATATATGAACTAGATATGAAAACAACTAAAGAGTCACAAGTCCCCCCCTCCCCCCGCTTCAGCAGTCTATTACCTCTGGTGTGCTGCAGATACGCAATTACATATTTTTTTCAATTTACAGGAAAACATCATTGGATTCGTAGTGATTTTTGGTGGCGGCTTTTTCCCAATTTGTTGGGTTATGGGCAATCTGGACAGTTATAAGTGAGAAGAAAAAGCTTTTGGAATGTGGTCACAAAGAAGAAAATGTCAATAAGAAGAGCTATTCTCAGAGGCTTTCATTATTAAAAATAAAATTTGAAAACTCATAACAGCAACTGCAGGATTTTATTCAGAAAAACAGTGCATGCTATTCATGATAGAATTAAATATTGGGGTTCTCTGTATTATTACAAAAAATGTTTTATGCAAATTTCAGACTACAAATTTAAATAAGCTTTCCAGGGACAGAAGGCAAAGCTGGAACAAAACAAGTAACCCCATGTCTCCCTCCTCATCATGAAATTTATATTACCAGGGAAAGAAGGTGTGATATGCAGAATGGTTTTTGACACTAGCTGTACTGTTTCAAATAATTTTTATTTGCAGGACCCTCAATCTTGAACTTAGTCATCCACATCTAGCCTAACGTGGTGCAATTCCAGTCTGTGCAGTTGATTTATGGTTCAGTAGGTCATGTGAAAATGTTGACTGGACCATGGCTAAGCAAATATAAGTAAATATAGGTAGTCCTCAGTTAACAGCAGCAATTGGGACTGGAATTTCTGTTGCTGAGTGAAGAAGTCATAAAATGTGACATCATGTGACCTCGTCACTTATTGACGGCAGTTTTGGCATTTCCTGGTTGCTGTCCTTAAGCAAATCCTGCACCATCGTTAAGTGAGGACATCACATGCTCACCATTTGTGACCTCCTGGCTCTCCATTGACTTTGCTTGTAAGAAGCCAGCAAAGAAGGTTGCAAATGGCAACCATGTGACTGAGGGACACTGTGATGGCTGGAACTTTGAGGATCAGTCGTAAGTAAATCTTGTTCAACACTCTCGCAAATTCAAGCAGTTGCTGAATGAGCGGTCGTTAAGCAAGGACCATCTGTATATTAAATAATCATAATCTGGAAATATACAGATTTGTAAATATTAAATAAACATTGAGACAAGATAGGGAACTATAGGCTTTATGAGAAAGGATGCAAGGAGTTAAAGCCAAGTGCTACATTTCTGTTTCTGGATTCCATTGCACTTTTTGATATCTCATCCTAAGTATTGCACAGCTCAATAAAATACTTTTTTAGTTTTCCTCATAAGCAGAAAACTTAAGCTAGATTTTTATTTAAGAAGTTCTTTAACCAGGACTGACTCTATTGATGTAAAAAAATAACATGTACAGTGCATTCAGAGAGTATTCAGACCTGCTTCACTTCTTTCAAGTTTGTTATGTTGCAGCCTAATACTACAATCATTCAAATTCATTTTTTTCCTCATTAATCTATACTCAGTACCCCATAATGACAAAGTGAAAACAGAATTTTA